GTGCGCACCAGTCACCATTTGATCGGAAATTGATGGAAATTTGAGCGTGTATCCAGACCTCTGGAGCTTTTAGGCCTATAGGGCCAAAAAAGGCAGCCGATCTATGAAATCACAATATCTAGAGTGATTTAGTATTAAAATTGTTAAAACCTGCTGTTTGTAATGCTCTGTTGAAATGCTGTTGTTGAAATCATCCATATCCAAATGTTTTAATGCATGGAGTATGATGATACAGTGAGGATAATGTAATCGCCCCTTAAAGCAGGAGTCTTGAGGAAAAGTTATCTCTCCGACTGGAAGGAAATCAGCGGTAAAATGAAGTATCTAACGGATTAGAAAGCAAAGTTTCCACTTTGAATCGGGCGCGAATGGCATCTCACTCTCGTGGGAACGTAGAAGATACCCGGAGAAAGAAAAGGCGACACGAATTTGAGAAGTTGGGACAAAAGAGGCTGAAATGCTGAAATAAGACGGAATAAGATTAATTAAGGTGGTGCGAATAAAGGCCAGAAAATGGGGACGGCGTTGCCTCGCTTGGCATGAAATGCCGCACCAGGAAAAAAGGTCCACAATGGAGATGTTGCATGTGCGAGGAATTTGCGATTTGACTGTTGATTCTTATGTAAAAGCTCGCAAGAAACACGATGGTGCCACTGGTTTTCTCTGAAATTAACTCCCAAGCTCAAAATAAGCTCTCAAGTTGAGGCAAAATGGAGGGGAAAGCTCGCAAGAAACACGATGGTGCCACTGGTTTTCTCTGAAATTAACTCCCAAGCTCAAAATAAGCTCTCAAGTTGAGGCAAAATGGAATACATATTGGGTTAACAATAAATACAAGAAAAATTCTCGAAAAAATAAGACATAAAATAAAAAATAAAATTAAAATCACTGGATTAAACATTATAAAAACAACTAGGAAAGTCGTATGTTGCGGGTTCACGCTACCCTGAGAGTCCACTTCTACATCAAGGCAAATTCTCCATGCAAAGATAGGGAGCAAATACATTAGCAGGGTTGCCGTGTTTTCAGTTTTAGAGTCCGCAAATAAAGTTCCATCGATATGTACTTGAAGAGTACATATTCGTTCGATGAGTCTTGCGCGTTCTCGCGTACTGACCACCTTTGCGAGGGAATAAGTAGGAAGAAGGAAGACATCTTGAAACCACACCTTTTCCGTGCTAAGTAAAAACGCCGTATGACCATTTAAATATTGCTGAATTTCCTTTCGGAAAATAACCATTTCAGAAGAGAGTCGCGGATATTTTTTCCTGAAATTTTCGGATTTTGTAGATCACATTATGACCGAAACCCTCTAAAAAATCAAGAGAGAAATATTCGCAGATTTTCCTGAAATGTCGTGATTTGTCGGGGGAAGTTCGGCAACGCCTAATGACCTATGCGGCGTTCTTCCATACTACCGTGCTACGGAAAAACACCGTGTGAACATTCGAGAATGGCCAAGTTTTCTTCAATAAAATGTTTATTTTTAAGGAGAGTTATGAATATTTTTCCTTGCAATTTTCAAACTTTTTAGATCATATTGAGAACAAAGTCCTGGAAAAATCGGACGAGAAATTTTCATAAATTTTCCTGAGAATTCGTGAGTTTTTGAGTAAAATTTGGCAACGCCTGATGGCTTATACGGTGTTTTTCGTTGGCACAGCAGCATAGCACAGCAGTCTACACCTTCTACACCTTGAAATTTTCAGGGACTTTCGGTGAGAAAATATTTATTTTTGAAGAAAATTAGTAATAATTTTCCTTGAAATTTTCAGACTGTGGAGATCAAGTTATGAACGAACCCCTCTAAAAAATCAGGAGAGAAATATTTAAATATTTCCCTGAAAATTTGTGATTCGCCGAAGGAAATTTGGCATCGCCTGATGGCTTATACGGTGTTCTTCCATAGCACAAACCTTGTTCCCAGCGGGTCTGGCAGAGCGTAAGTGCCAATTTGGTTCACTAAGCTCTCGTCTGGGACTAACCCCCAAATTTGCAACCGGGACCAAATTTCCGGAAAATCCTCAAATGTTCTCTTGAGAATTCGCCAACAGAACCATCACCTGTCAACGGGGCGGGTGCATTAGGCATTGCGGGCGCGACTCGGAAGTAGGGAATTGGGGAACACAATTTCGTCAATTTCTCGCGAGATCCGTGTTCGTACGCGGCGCTTAAATCACGCGTTAAATCAACCCTTTGAGCTCGAAATATTGAATCCGGGTGAGTTTCCTTCGCGTCTGGGCCAATATCCGTTTTCGAGTCGACAAGGAGCTACCTCTTGATCATGTCTCGACCTCGAGGCCTCTGACAAACGCCTCGCTCGTTCAAGTTTCGTGTGAGGCGCACAGTGGATCGAGTCAATGACAGGGCCGAATGTAGGGGGTGGCCACATGGGCCGCGGCCCAGGGCGGCAAATTTTGTCATTTCTTTAAATTAAGGTATAAAAAAATTGGACTCAGAAAAAAAATTACAAACGAGAAAAGGCGACAAAATCTCTCATTTCCAGAGAGTGTAATGTATAATTTTGTCGTATTTCGATGATACAAGAGATAGCACCTTCAATAAGTTGAGTTAAGAGAGCAGTTGACATGCAGAGTTAACATGCAATTTGGCCTGGAGAGGCGGGGCGCAGAGAGCAGTGATAACGAGGACTTGAGATGAATAGGAGAAGCCCTCGGCGCGGCGTTCGGCATGTAAAACATATTAGCGCCTACAACGGTGCATGAATACCTCACGCATTGCGTCAAACACAGTGCAGTCAGCGCGAAACGCAAGGCGCCTACAAAACTGCATGAATACTTCACGCATTGCACCAAAAACTGTGCGGTCAGCGTGGCGCGGCGGCGAAAGTTAAAATTATTAAACCACATTTTTTTAGTTTTTAACCTACTCTGACACAGAGATACGAGTTTGGTAAAAAGCACCAGACTCTATAAGGTAACATTCACTATATTGTGTTGAGTATCACCAGTTTTATATTAAATGGTACTATAATTTTCGTCATTCTCACAAATAGTTTAATGTGTAAAAATTCAAGAAGACATACAGAAGATGTTACCATACTTCTTTCAGTGTTGTAATTTTAAATTTTTTCACCAATTTTAGATTCAGAGTACCATACGATTGCACTTCGGGATCTAAAAATATTCGAGATGTGGCAAAAGCTTCTATAATACAAAAACACGCTCCACAGCGTTGTGATTGCGGGAGGCGTTTCGGCGCAAAACGAGTTGAGCGAATTGCCTAACCAGCGCCGTTGCGGTCAAACAAACAATTTATTCATATTTAAGCGCCGAGCCCGCTTGTTTATTCGGGGGGCACGGGAACTGGGGGCAAGAGGGGGGGGGGGCTGTCCGGGGTGCCGTGTAAAGGTGCCATCTGAAAACTTCTCCACTTCTCCGAGGAACCAATTAGAGACCTGCTTTCATATTCATATCGGTTTTGTATATTTTATGCTTTCAATGAATAGCCAAGTTTAATTTGGGTCCGTTGCCCCCCTCCACCCCCTCCTCCCATCATTCTCTTCTCTGGGGCTGCATCTTTTACCCGGACCCAGATTAGCCCTCATTTGGGTCAGTGAGCGAATGAAAAACGTTTTATTTAGGATCCCACGGAAAATTCTTGGACTGGGTAAAATATTTTCGGGTACAATCAAGAAGAAGCAAAATTGAAGTACGAGTACTTGGCGCATAAAGGGCATTTCTTAGTTACGGTGTTTCAAGATCTCCGCTAACCTTTAATCCAATGTGACTGGAATAAATGCATGAACTTCGTTGAGACTTTTGCTAAAATTTCTTTACGATTATACAAAACTGAAAAATAAAAATTTCAGAAAATTCACCGAACACTTTCCTTTCTAAAATATAAATTTGTTGAAGGTTTCGAAACATCGCAAGCAAAACTGCCCTTTCTGCACCCAACACCTCAATTTTGGTTTTTGGCTGATGCCAAGTACTCCGATGGCTGTTGTCGGTTCATGTCGTATTACTTCCATTAATTTTGCAATTCATGTAAATTGGTAACTGAGCACACAAAGACTTTCTGAAATTCTTTGATGTAAATTTTCCAAATAACCGGCAATACTTAGGGGAAAATTTTCAAAAATACGTAGAGAAATTGTTTTTGGACTGCCCAACTGAGTTCTCGTTAGAGTAGCAGGCCGTAACTTTGAATAATTTTTTCGCGAGAATTCCTTCTTCAGGTTTGTAAATCCCGCACTTTTCCTGAAGTATCTTATATAATGTTTGGACGGTCCGGTTGCTAAACCTCAGTGTTGATAAAATTGGCACAGTAGGTCACAATGTAAATATTTCTCATACGAAATCCGAAAATATAGGGAACGCTGATTCGGTATTTGATTTTTTGTCTAAGAACATATTTCCTCCATAGGACCCGTCTACTGGAATTCACTGCGCTTATTTCCGACCCAATTGTTTGGAATGACCTAAATTGACATTACACATGTTTTCCCTATGCTCGTTTTTCCTTACAGCCTCAGTTGCTGGCACCAGTCATGCAGCTTACCACGTTTCGAAGTGATTTCTTAAATACAGCTGTATTTTTTCACTCTGTACATGCCGTATGGTAAAAGCGGAGAGTAGTACCTTTCACATTTCTCATTTTTTTCGTTCGGAAATTATAATATCGTGTTGGTGCGGTGAATGATAATCCAATGGTGACGAAAATCTTCAGCTGTCATTGTCAAAAAGCTGCCAACGTCCAGAAAAAAGAGTGAAGTGCGTTAAGTAAAGTTGGTATCAGTGACCCTTTTCGCGGTTTTAACCCCGTTTGTAAGCTTGCGTAAGTGGACCATTCATAAGAACTCTATAAAGTTCAAGAAGACGGGTTGGAGGTCCTTGGTGATCAGCGAATGAAAAACAATAATGATGAGGGATATAAAAACGATACATGTCGTCAACAATCGTTTGATGATGACGCTAAAACAGAAATTACCGGCAATTTCGAAACTAATATTAATTACTTTTATCATCATAAGCAGTATGTACTTCTCAGACTTCATATTTCATCATTCAAATCGGAAGACTCGATGTGGTGAAAGTGCTGCTACTAAAGTTAAAAATTCGTCACTTTTCAACGTTTCCGAGCCGGAACAGTTTAAGAAAGTGCCCGCGTACAAATACGTTAATAACCCCCTGACCAAAGACCTCTACGATCCTGGCTTCGACATCCCCAACCCCGGCCTTTGCCCGGAATCAGGAGCTTCCCTCAAACTGTTGATTATCATTGAAAACGCTAGGCATCGCTCCGATTTACGCGAGGACATTCGCCGGACTTACGGACACTCATTCGCCTTGAGGAAGGACGTGGCCAAAATGTTCTTATTAGGTCGCCCTGAAAAACCTGGTGCCCAGCCAGACATCCCGTCCGAGTCTGATCGTTACGGAGACATGGTGGTTGGTCGATTCGTCGATACTTTTTACAACCTAACCCTGAAAACTACGGCAGCTCTTGAGTGGGTATCGACTTATTGCAGCAAAGTGAAATTCATTTTCAAAGCGGATGATGATGTATTTCTCAATATTCCAAGGATACTTGATCTTATCGAATTGTGGGGTGACGAAAAAAGAGCAATCATTGGAGAAGTATGCAGATGGAGTCACACGAAGGATAAGAAAGACAAGCACTACGTTGAACCTGAAGTTTATAATCTTCCATATAACCCTGCTTATGCGTTTGGACAATCTGGTTATTTAGTGACCACTGATATCGTGAAAGAATTGCTTGAACGAGGCCTTAATACCGCATATCTGAATATAGAAGATATCTTTTACACCGGAGTCATTGCCCCTGCAATTGGTGCCACGAGAGCATTTCACGAGCGCAGTTTTAAGTGGCACGATCCTGATTACTGGGTTCGGTCTAAAAACAAGAAGAAGTGTAGTATTCAGGACAATGTTAGTGTATGGGCACCCGAAAGGAAGCAAAAGTATTTCCTGTGGAATATGACTCAAACAGACCGAAATTATTGCACCTAGAACAAGATTTTTGGAGGCTAGGCTGCTTACGATCATACGGGTGGAAGGAACATGGTATCAGCATGGTATCAACAAGTGGCAGGTGAGTAAAATTATTGGTCTGTCATTTTGATATATTTTTAAACGGCCTCCGCTACGTGACGAATTTATTTCGGTACCATGTTGGTGCTAACTTAGGAAAATGTGGACTGTGAATGAATGTCATCTGCTGGATATGCCATAAGAAATTGCCATTGGTGGATCGAGCAATTTGGCAACACCGGATTTCCCCCATTTAAACCTTTGGAAATAAATCGATTCTTGGAGGGGCCAGGTCGTCTGACAAGAATCGATTATTTAGCGTAGGTTTAAATGGGGGAAATTCGGTGTTGCCAAATTGCTGGATCCGCCTCTGGAAATTGCACAATCTTAGCAGTACTACACGCCTCCCACGCTCTTCTCCCGAAAAAAGTCCTCAATTAAACGAAGGGCAATGATTCGATCGACATGAATCAATCAAAAAACCAGAACGTGACCTGATAGACGTGATTCGATCGACGAAATACGATCGACCCTCGGGTTTGTCGACCGATTCATGGATTTCACGATATATTCGCGGGTTTGTCGATCGATTCATGGATGTTTCGATACATTCGCGGGTTCGTTAATCTATTCCCGGATTTGTCGATCGAATCACGTCGATCGGTTCACGTTTTGGAATTTCGATCGATTCATGTCGATCGAATCGATATAGCTTTTTCAATACTTTGTCAATCGAATTGGTGTCGATAAATTCACGTCTTCATTCTTCGATTGATTAAAGGCGACAGAACCCATACCTTTGGCGTGAGAACCATAAAAGCAAATATAACATATTTCCTCCTAAGATATACTTTTTTTCCACAGATATATATTTTTTATGCGATGTATGATTCTTTCCTTTTATGGTGTAAAATTTGATGGCGTCGCCAGAGCAAGATGACTCGATAAATGCGAATCGCGAATCTGGGCGATTGGCATTTCTCGAGTCATCTTGCTAAGGGCAGTGAATGGACCCTCCGCACAGAGAAAAATCTGAGCAAGGTTCCGAATCCCGGAACATTTGACCGCCGTGGAATAGAGGCACGGCACGGAACAGGAACAAAAATGGGTCTGTTGTCAACAAAAGGTACAACCAACAGCTATTTTACAGGTAAAATCGCATGAAAAATACAAACCACGAACTGAGCCCTCTTTTATCTCGGAGAGTATGCAATTTGAGCCACTTGGGTGTTAAAAAATGTATTGCAAGGTTTGCTCATAGCATGGCGTTCAATTGAGACAGAAACTTCTTTATTAAATTTTAAAATTGTTAAATTTATTTATAATTTTGAAATTTATTTTTTTACTTAACATACAATTTTAATGAAGAAAAAATACCAATCAATAAACTATGTAAAAACTTTATTTCATTAAATTTAATAAGTAAATTTAATAATATTCCACAGGAAAAAAACAGAACGTGAAAACAGCATGCTCCACTGGATCCAAGGCCCCGCTTTAGTAAGGCTCGGTGGAGGGAACTTTCCTTCGCGTTTTTCATGACATTTTTTAAGAGATATTTATTAATCACTCATTTTATTTATGTATGCATAATTGTAATTTACAAAAAATGAATAAAGTCAATTGAAAAATTCAGTATTTCTTCTAATCATTGATCTTGCAGAGAACATGGGTTTTTGCGGAAAATTAGCACCAGCGCGGTGCACCAGTAGCTCAAGGTGTCAAATGCTGCCGTGATGAAAATTCGAGAGGTGCAAAATTTCCTTCAATAATACATTTAATTTGAGGAAAGATATGAATATTTTTCCTTGAAATTTTCAGGGACTTTCGGTGAGAAAATATTTATTTTTGAAGAAAATTAGTGATAATTTTCCTTGAAATTTTCAGACTGTGGAGATCTCCTCTAACGAATCCCTCTGAAAAATCAGGAGAGAAATATTTAAATATTTCCCTGAAAATCTGTGATTTGCCGAAGGAAATTTGGCAAATTTGACTTCAACATTATTCTTTTTCCTTTCCTTACCCCCTCAAGATCTAGTTTACCTTTGCGATTACCAGGAGGGCAACTCCAAACAAGGTGAAGAATTTCAAAGGAGGGGTATCGATAAGAGCCTTTTTTGCCCCCCCCCCCCC